GATCGCGTTGTGTGTCGTCTTTCCCCGCTCGCCCGGAGGCATCGCCCCCCGCCAGCTATTTCCGAGGAGTTACAGACCTGGAGGAGCAGAGGAGTAGAATGACCTCTCCTGTGGACCCCAAGATTAAACAGGCTTTGCGAAAGAAACCATCGGAACGGACCCCGGAGGTAAGGGAGCTGCGGCTGCTTCCCCGCGGGGTCTTTAATTTGTAAATTTGCTTCGCGTAAATCCGTATTCCTTCGCGTAAATCCCACGGGCTTTCCGCCCGGTGCCCGCTGCCCATCACCAGCCTGGCACGCACAACTCCTGAGCGCAGTGCCATCAGTTACTTATTTCTGCTTTGCAAAGTTGGACCTTTCGAGACACTGTTTTAAACATCCAGCAGCAGGCTGGATAGAGGCGTAAGGCGGTTTATGAGCTGTAGGAAGAAGAGGAGGCAGATCGCTGAGAAGTACCATTATGCGTGTTTCACTGATGCAAAACTTCTGAGAAAAGTTAGCGAGCTGGAAGACTTTGCTTACCTGTACAGTGATGCAGATTTAAACAAAACCGAACTAATTATGCTTCGCAGGCTTCATAAAGAGACGTTTTTCCAGTGAGTGGGAGTGTAGAAATGTGCAAGGCTGGTTAGCTTCAATAAAACACGTTTTCCAATTAACTGACTTCTCTGTGCCTTCCCCAACTAGTCTGTAATCAGCCATGTATTTTTGGGAATGGGAATATCTTGGAGCATTAATTTAATAATGAAGTATGTTGGATAGTATTTACATTTCACTGAAAGGCTGATTGGGGTTTGTTTGCTTGCCCGTGCTTTTTTTAATTTGTTTCCCTTACTGTGATTTTGGTGAGTTTTTTTAATGTACTCAAGAATTAGTGGTATGAAACGATACGCGCTTGAGTTTGTCCCTTTGAGACCGGGAAACATCTGTTCTCCCTTGATACTTGGTGGAGAGCGGAATGTCCTGCCTGGTCTTCCTTATGAGCGAGTTGTCAGAAGGCTACTCGGGGAGCACTGCTGCAGAGGCTGCTTCAGGCTACGTCCTAGCAGGACAGGGACCCCACTTCCCCTTCGAGTCAGTCTTGTGGGCGAAATACACGTGTTCTGTCCCAATGCTTGCTTGCCCTGGGATATTTGATACATTCCTTGTGTCTCTGCTCCCTAAGTTAATGATGAGGCACTCTATGGAAAGAGCTGTCTCTCTGTTCTTTCTCTGTCCTTACTTTTATCACCCCCTCTCTTGCTTCAGACCTCTCTTTCTTTTCTTCAGCTGTAGTCTTCAGTTTGGAAAATTCCTTTGCTCGTGTGGTTTGCAGAGTTGGGCAACTGGGTTCATCACAGAAGTGTCATTCATGAGCCAGCATACCGCCCTGGCTCGTCATGGCTTTGACTTTGGGGAACAGGTAATCTGGCCTGGCCTGAAACATCTGCCCGCTGCTGCTGCTTGCGATACCCACGTCTCGCAGCCGTGAAGGGCTCCTTGTTCTGCTTGAAAATCTGATTTTTAGGCATCCACAAATTTTCCCTCAGCAACTGTTGTGGAATGCTTTGGGATTGTCACCTTATTTTGGCTAAAAGTGCCTTAAAATAACTGTTTTGCTTAACCTTGTAAAGTTAAACTGTCAGATATCATGATGTCCAGCTGCGCTGGTTCATCGGGATCTGTGTGGCTTCCCATGGGGACTGACATCAGGGACGTGTGCAGGTTTGAATTTGCCAGGGCGACTCAGTTGTGGGGGAAAAAAAAATCTCATCATTGCTAATCTAACTAATAGCACCTCCAAAAGGATTAAAAACGTAATCTGAATTCCCTTGTTAATCTGGCCCTTTTTTTCACAGGCGTTTAGAGGCACGGCACAGCGAGACTACTCGTGGTTAAAGAGAAACATGTACTTAAAACCTGGCCTTAAAACGGGGCCTCTCTGCTTGTTGCCTGTTGCCGAGTGGGTAGTTATGGTCAAATCACTTTTGTTTTCTTGGGGTACTTTTGTTTTCTTGGGGTACTTCTGTTCACATTCCTTCAGAAATTACCCCAATTTCAAGAAAAGCGCTTCCCTGTCAGTAGTGTGGTGTATCTAGGGGTTTCCATTTTTGGGTCTATACTACCTGTTTAGACACAAAGCCAAAACCAAACCTCCCCAGCGTGGCTGCTCTGTGCCAGATTTCCCAAGCGTGCGCTCGGAGGTGTGATGACAGATGGGTGCAGGGTGATAAGGCACCCGGAGGAAACGACTGCCATGTAATTTATTGTTTGAAAATCATGCTAAAGCATCCCGACTTAACAACTTTTCTTCTGTAGGCTGCAGGACTTAGGACAGGGAAGTTGAAACCAGCTTAGCGCGGTCATTAGGGTCAGACCCCAGTTTCGGGTGTCCCTGCGTAGGGTGTACGAGCAGGTGACTCCCGTCTTGAAGTATCCAGTTGTGCACACACGAAAACGTGGCTCATCTCTCCCCTCCTACTCCGGCAGAAAGGTATCATCAGCTCCTCCCACATGAAATCAGCAGCACCGGGCTGTTGGGGCACTTTGGATGTGTTTTTATACAGGAAACCCCCCCAAAATTCCCCAAACTGTGGTATTTTACCGTGAGCCAATGCTGCTTGACCACTTGAGTTTCAATTGCTTTCAGTCCCTTTCTGACCCCCCGGTTTAGGTGGGCGGTTTACCTGGGAATTACAAATTACAGGGTTGGGGCCGCACTGATTAGTAGCGGCGTCCGGTGCTTCCCAACTGTCATCTGTACAGCAGGCTCTGGAAAAATACAGGTAAATAATCCACCCCTCGGATTTCACTTAGGAGTGGTATGATTATCCGTATGATTTTGATTTTTAGGCCTTTTTCTTGACAAAACGTTTGAATTTGTAAGACCTGGGGAACTAAGCAGGGAGATGTTGAAATTTTTTTATAATTCACTTATTTTGGGGAATTATCTCGATGGCTTGCTCAAGTGAAAATTGTAATTCTTGATGCTACAAATATTTTTGTTTGGGAAAATCTCTGTTAGGGCAAGTTCTCCCTGTTGTGGTAACATTCCAGTGTTTGCTAATTGTTAAAGTGTGTAAGTTATGCATATTAGACGTGTACACGCTTGTGTGGGGTGGGTGGTTTTTTTTGGTTGTTACTCAGAGACTTCATGTGTGATAATCTTTAATTTAATTTGATGGTGGTGGGGAGTTATTTCGATGAACTCCTGGAGGTTGTAGCTCACGTGTACATTTTTATGTAATTGCTGCTCTGTTACTCCATTCCTTGGTGCTGCCCAAGTCTGGGAAATCTTTTGGGTTGTTTTTTCTTTCTTTCCTCTTTTCTTTCTTTCCTCTGCCCTGATGTATCATGAAATAGTACAGACTCGTGATGCAACCTGACCTTCTTGTTGTAAGTCTCTCAAAACATTTACTTGTGGGCTGGTACCCACCTCGGTGGCAGGTTGGCACCGCGGGATGCGAGTCCCGCTTCGGCAGGATTTCAGGCTCGTTGGTGACACAGCTTGGCCTTGGCCCTGTGCTGACACTGTCTCTCAGGTTCAGCCTGAAAGCGCCGAATTTGGGAAGCTTGTGTCAGGTGTTACTTTTGACAATAGATTATCCTAACAAATCATCTCTTCTCCGCGCGCTCTCTTGGCAGGTAGAGGAAACTTTGGGGTAATTGGACACTTAATCACTTTAAAATAAAACCTATACCGAAACGGTAGGATTTCATACGCATGTTTAATATTTTAATAGCTGCATTTGTCTTCCAGGGTTATGCTGATGTCTGTGTGGTTATTGCAGATCCTCCAGTTCGTGCCGGTTGGGAATATGGGGTTGACGTGCTTCTGTGCAGTGTTTTAGCTTTAGCACATCATCCCGCCTGATTCTTGCGTCACGGGTGGGGATACGAAATTGGCGGTTTGGGAGTGTGTTAGTAGAAGGAAATCGTTTGTTAAAGCAGTGGGAGGGAAGGACAAATGCTTGTGCCCCTGTGTGTGCACTCCCATGAAAGGTTTAATTTTTGAGGCCCAGAATTCCTTATCAGATCCGTACAAAGGCTGTGATGTTAGTCTTCTGGGGAGTGGCTTAATGCCTACCGCAGATAAGGTCTCGGTGGCTGATGGGGCAAAGCAGCAACCGATTATGCTCCTTTTTCTTTCTCTTTCATTCCCCCCCTCCCCCCATGAGCATGCTCTCTTCCATTTTTAATGGATCCTTTTCCCAACATAGTTTCCTTCTAGTTCTTCATGACTCTGTTGTAGACAGTTTCCTTTCCCTGGTTCACAGAGCTTTGCCTTTATTGGACTTCAAAGAGTGAGAGTTTATTTTTATACTCCGAGCTCTTGTATTTTCCTAACTTTGTGCTGTGTCTTCTTTCAGTAATTCTCGATTAATGTCAATTCAACTTCATTTGGTGACACTAACTCCTCCTTCTCTTCCTGTTCCCTTTTTATTAATACAGTGGAAGGAGAAAAAACCTAATTTGCACAATTGTGTCATAACAGGGTCTGCTATTTGGAGTGTGGATGTGATGCATCTTGACGGCTTTATATAGAGAGAAAGAGATCTGCACGAATATAAATCATACGCAAATAGTCCATTGGTGGGCATTATAAAATGGCTGTAACAAATAAAATAAATTATTGCTGACAGTGTAACAAAGGCACTCTTGTACTGTAGCACAGCTGAGCCAAACAGAGGAGAACATCTGCTTCTTGTTTCCAGAAATAACTGGTATTTTGAAGTGGGTTTTTTCATCCTTTTAATAATTTTCTGTAAACTCAGTAGGTGAAACAGAGGATTAGGCTTTGTTAAAATCCATTGTTTCTGTAGTTCGCAGCGAGCTTTTAGCAGTGTTACTGTAACAAGGGTGTTGTTTTTGGATAGCCACCTAACATAATCCGGACTGTAGAATCGCTACAAAGATCTAGATGCTTGCAATTATCCTAAAGCGGAATAGAAATTTCTATTAAATGAAGTTGCAGATGCAGGATTGTATTTAGTAAAAATTCCTTACGGTTAGTCTGTGGGCCTCCAAAACAGGGAAAAGAGGAGTGATGGAAACTTGACTCCGGCCATAATTTTCTACTACCTAACCTCAGTCTTACGTTTTCACTCCCATTTTTTCGTTAGTGATACGTGAGTAGTTAGGGTTCTGGAGCTCAAGCTGAAGACGACCAGCAATTACCTGGTGTGAAA